TGTTAACTAGTTTACCTTATACATTGTTTGAATTTAAACAAAAGATATTATATATATATATATATATATATATATATATTGTATTGAATTGTTTGAATTATATTTTTTTCCTATAAAGGTTTGGATAAATTAAAAAACAAACAAAATATTAAAAAAATTACACTTTCTAAGACAGCTATGACCTTATTTGTCATATAAATTGCATATTTTATAACAAGTGTTATCTTACTTATTATAAAATGTGCAACATTTTATGTCACTTAACATCACATTCGTCAGAGAATGTGCATTTTCTATAATGGGTGTGATCACATACAATATAAAATGTGAACTTTCTATATTGTGTATGGTTACATCTGTCATAGAATGTGATTAAAACATCACATTTGATACCTATATTTTAACTATCATTGACCACCTGACATACAAAGTTAACTTTTTTAATTGTGGGTTGACCTATCATACATAAAATATGTCAACATTTTATGTCATTAAAATTTATGTTGCATTCAAGATAATATAAAATATTTAAAAACATCCAACATAAAAAATTGATGACACATTAGTGATTGTGCATTCATTAAAGAGTTTCGTACATCTTCATCAAACATTCTCATATTATTAAAAAAAAAAAAACTAATTACCGTGAATATACACTACTACAATTTCTCTTATTAGATGGGACTTTTCTTGCAAATTTTTCATAAAAATTCGCAGGAAACCTTGTTCTTACAAATTTTTCTGCGAAATTTTATCTAGAAGAAATACCTTCATGGGCCCACGGCCCCGCGAAAATTTGGGCTGTTACAACTTTAACTTGATTGTTATTTGATAACATTGGTATATTTTTATAATAATTGGTTATTGTTATTAATTAATGACAATATTTGTTCACTTTACCTTTATTGTTAACTCTCTTTTTAATTGTTAACTAGTTTACCTTATACATTGTTTGAATTTAAACAAAAGATATTATATATATATATATATATATATATATATATTGTATTGAATTGTTTGAATTATATTTTTTTCCTATAAAGGTTTGGATAAATTAAAAAACAAACAAAATATTAAAAAAATTACACTTTCTAAGACAGCTATGACCTTATTTGTCATATAAATTGCATATTTTATAACAAGTGTTATCTTACTTATTATAAAATGTGCAACATTTTATGTCACTTAACATCACATTCGTCAGAGAATGTGCATTTTCTATAATGGGTGTGATCACATACAATATAAAATGTGAACTTTCTATATTGTGTATGGTTACATCTGTCATAGAATGTGATTAAAACATCACATTTGATACCTATATTTTAACTATCATTGACCACCTGACATACAAAGTTAACTTTTTTAATTGTGGGTTGACCTATCATACATAAAATATGTCAACATTTTATGTCATTAAAATTTATGTTGCATTCAAGATAATATAAAATATTTAAAAACATCCAACATAAAAAATTGATGACACATTAGTGATTGTGCATTCATTAAAGAGTTTCGTACATCTTCATCAAACATTCTCATATTATTAAAAAAAAAAAAACTAATTACCGTGAATATACACTACTACAATTTCTCTTATTAGATGGGACTTTTCTTGCAAATTTTTCATAAAAATTCGCAGGAAACCTTGTTCTTACAAATTTTTCTGCGAAATTTTATCTAGAAGAAATACCTTCATGGATAATATGTTTTTACGAATTTTAAAATTCGCAAGAAATTTTCATGCGAAAAAAATTCGCAGGAAAGTTTCCTGCAAAAAAAATTCGCAAGAAAGTTTCTTACGATTTTTTTTTTTTGCAAGAAATTTTGCAGGAATATTTTATTTGAAAAAATTAAAGAAATTACTATAAATTCTATCAATAATTCTTCAACTTTCAAATGTTCACAATGAATTCATCCGAAGCATTTGTTTCCACACCTCCAACATATGATATGTAATCTTTTAAATTCTAAGATTGTAGATTATAAGCCTAACACTCAACCATACAAATCAACTGGTAAGGTAAGTGTTGCCCCAACTTATATACTCTTTAATTGTTTTATTTTCAAACAATGTGGGACTTAAATTTTTTTTTAAAATATTAAACTTATAAATTTAAATATTTTTTTTTAATTTTTCCTGCGGATTAAAATTGGAAGGAAAATCCGCAGGAAAAGTTACCTGCAAAACTTTTCTACCATTTAGTAAACATTACTTGCGAATTTATTTTTGTAAGAAAATCTGCAAGAAACAAAATAAAATTCTTACAATATTTTCTGCAAATTTTTACTATGGAAAAAAATTTCTATGATCATTAAATTTGTAGCAAAAATTGCAAAAATTTCTTGTAAATTATTTTTTATAAAAAAAATTGTAGGAAATATCTGTAAATTATTTTTCATAAATAAATTTGTAAAAAAAATTATGAAATTATTATTGTAAGAAAATTCACACAAAAAATCTGCAAATATTTTTTTACAGGAATATTTGCAGGAAAATGATACTTTTTTAGTAGTGATAGAAATTTAGTAGGGGAAAACAATATTTTTAATTGGTTCAATTTAATTAAAATTGTAACAAAAATTTAAATAAATAAATAAATTATAATAAAAAACTCATTCAGCCGTACTCTAACATATTTAAAGAGTATGATTTTTGAAAGTAAAATTCAATAGAGGTCCCGGCATTCGTCCAAAGAAAAAGAGTTTTTAATTCAAGGTGGTGGGTTTTCCATGTTTTATAATGGTTAAAATAATTTTTTAATCTCTATAATTTTATTTATTTTATGTTTTAATTTTTATAATTTAAAATATATATTTTTTAATTAGAGTTGTAAGTGAGTCGGGTTATATCGATTTTGGATAAATCTTTTATCCAACTCGATCAAAATTTAATAGCTTGAATTGAATCAGGTTTATAATTATTTTTTTTGAAATTCAATCCAACTCGACCATGAACGGATTGAGTTAGATCAATCAGATCAACATAATTAAATTTATTTATCTTTTATAAAAAAATATTTCATAATATATGTAAATTATTTGATATTTTGTTACAAATATAATAATATTATCAACACAGAAAGAAAATAATGATATAAATTAAATTTTAAAATAAATTCATTGATTTGTTACATTATTATCAATTCTAACAACCAATATTATTACAAAATAAAATTTAAAATAACTATGTTGTATTGTTATAATGGTATCAATTCAAAAATACAAAACTCATTACTGAGTAAGAATGACACAGAGTATTCTACTGAGCAAGTAATAATTCAAGTATTAATTTATTATTATTATTATTATTATTTATTATTCTTTTAATTTATATTATATATGTTCGAATCGGGTTAGCTAGGTCATGGAGAAAAGTACAAAACTCGTTATCTGATCTGTACAGTGATGAATTTTGAATAGGTTGTATCAGGTTTGACCCTAGCACTTAAAAAATTCAATCCGAACTCATTGGATTGGTTTGGATCAATTTGGATTCACGGGTTATCCGTACTCATTTACACTCCTATTTTTAACTCCTATACTTATCTTTATCGATCATTTTTTGTTCTTATAATTTAAGATATACTCTTTTAGTCCATATACTTGCATTTTTTTAATACTTTCTAGTCTCTAACATTAATTATTTTGTAACATGGGTTCTTTTGTATTGACATGATAGAGATCTTCAATTTTGTGAGAGTAAACAAAGGTATCTAAAAGATGAACATCGTAAATAAAGATAAAAAAGAGGTACAAAATGTTGATGAACTTAATTTAGGAATAACTTAAGCAAAATAAATTCGATACTAAATATTCAAAGTTGAATTAATACATTTGTCATATCAACATAAAAGATATAACGGTAAAAAATATCAACAGAATAAAAATATTATAAAAAATTTTACTATGAAATAAAAATATTAAAAAAGATAAATATAAAAATTTAAAATATTTATTTTAAATTATAAAGATTAAAAAAATAAAGTAATAGAAACTATAAATATTTAAAAGTATTTTAACCTTTTATAATTTTTCTGTGGGTTCTCGAGTGCCCATGTCAAATGTGCCACGCATGTTGAATACTGTAAAAAAACTAACGGGTTCATCGTCAATTGTCCAAAAGCAGAAAGTTACTTCTTCAGCTACTACACACGTACCACGTACATTACTACACGTTGTAAATTTTTCAGTGTATATTTTAATTACAGTACTAATTTGTATAGATTGAAATAGTAATAGACCATATTTGAATTTAAATTTTAGTGCTGTTATTATAAAAAAAATACTGCATAAATTTTTTTTCAAAAGAAATTAATAATACTTTTATACTCAAATTAATAAATACTTTTAAATCCTAATTATGAGTATAGAATAAATCATGTTAAAAAGAGAATATTTATCTTATATGTATTTATCATCTTTAAAGACGAGTAATCATTATCTTTGACAATAGACCAATATTATGATTGTCTAAAAATATTTAAATTATTAATGTTGAATGCAAAAAATTAAAATTAGAAAGAAATGTCCAATTATTTTATAGTTATAACCTTTAAAAAAGATTAATCTTTATTTTTATCTTTTTGAGAGGATAATCTTTATTTTTATTTATTTGATAAAAAAATTAGAATATATCCACCTACTTTAAAACTATCAAATTTTCAAAAAAAAAAATATTATATTCAATGAAATAATACTCCTAGTAAATAAAATAAATCAAAATATAACATTTAAACCAATTCAATGTACTTAATAAATTTTTCTACTTATTAATTATATTATCACATCCCTCATAAAAAACAATCTGATACAAAGAAAAACTGTCACTTCATCTCAAAAGTCAAAAGAAATTAAGATTTTAAGGCACATGAGTTATGCTCTTCAATTTCTAAGTTTCTCTCTCTACATCTTGCTTTTCTATCTGTCTCTCTCCTACTCAGACGCATCTATCACACTGCATGTCTTGTATCTATAAATTAAAATCCTACTACCATTCCCTGTCACAGTGATATTCATTCAGAGAGTTGAAACAATTCCTTGATTTTCAAAGAAGAGAAAGGTCCTTGGGTGAGAATTGAGATGGAGCTTCCAAATGAAAGTGAGGCAAGAACCTACAGGCTCCCAATTGGGTTCTGTTTTGATCCCTCAGATGAAGTTCTCACAGGCTATTACCTTCGGAAGAAGATATTATCTCAACCACTTCCCCATAACTTCATACCAGAGTGTGATGTTTTCCAAACTGAACCATGGAGGCTTCAAGGAGGTTGGTCTAAAACATATAAATGCAAATCCTCTCTTTCCAATCTTCTTTCAATTTTATTTTTTTTATGCTTTTCTATAATTGTCACAAGTTTGATCTTTTGAGTCAGTTGTGAGTGTAAACCTAGATCCAGGATTTAGCCACACCAAAACTCCTCACTTTTCTTCAAAAATATTTGTAAGAATGACGTCACTCCCCCAACTTCAGCAGTTGCGAAATGAACCACACAATCGGATGAATCTTATTGATTCTTTTAACAGCGAACGATGTAATTGACTAGTCTTTGGAAAGAAAAAAAAGCTCCAATTTTTTCATGTGCCATGAATAAACAATAGCTGGATCAAAATGGTGTTTTTGTTTTGAGTTTAATCTGTGCTTATTTCCCTAACTGTGTTGTTTTTCAGGGGGAAGGCATTTGAATTGGCAGAAATATTTCTTCTATGATCCCAAGGACCGTGTGTTTGAAAACACGGTCAAGATAGGTGCTGGAAATGGGGAATGGAGGGCGGTGGAAAGAGGCGAGCAAATAGAGCTTTCTAGCATACAGATGATTGCTCAAAGGAACACTTATGTCTTCTGGGAAAGAAATGACAACAACTTCATAAGATCAAACTGGGTGATGAAAGAGTTTCACCTTGCTCTCAACTCTAATCCATCCTTGGTAATACAACATTGTTCACCATCATTGTTAGGAAAATTATAAACATATCCTCAATTTTCTTATACATTACTTATCTATCTCTTTCTCTTTTTTTACTTTTTATCACAACTCTTTTGAGAATTTTTTTTTTTTTTTTTTTTTATCTTCATGTCATTCCAAAACAAGGTGATCATTTATGATGACTTTGATCAAAATTGATTCACATTTCTTATCAATCTCTTTTTACTTTTATCCTCAAAATAAGGCAGATATTTATCACCACTCTTATAAAAAATGAGCAGATTCAATGTAATGTCTTTTACTTTTGCAGAATTTTGGGTGTGGGGTTCAGTATCTAATGAATGAATTTTTTGAATTCTGATGTAGAGATTTTGCATGGGTGTGTATCGGATATTCGAGATGGAAGGAAGGAGGGCAAAAAAGCTGAGAATGTCTGGAGAGGAGGCTTCAACAAGTGGCAATGATGGAGAAGCCAACGATGTCACACCCACTATCGGTGATTTGACACAAGAGTATGGTAGTGTGGCTAGTACTTCCCAAGTTGAGTGAAAACGGTGAAACTAACTAGTTAGGTAGGGTCAATGTTGCTCGAAAACCTCCCATGTGTGAGAAACCATTTGGAAGCCCTATATGTACCAAAGAACGATTGGGATCAGCATAGTAGTAGAGAGTTAGGATAATATGCATAGAATTTTAAATTAAGTATTAGTAATTATGATAGGTAAAAAGATATGCACACAAGAACTATCATCTTGTATTGTAGTGTGCATGAACTGGGTATATTGAAGTTTGTTTTGTATGTGTCTCACCGTTTATGTTTATGTAGCATGCTTTATTATTTATTTAGTTTGTTCAATTGAGAATGATTACTATAAAGTATGGGTTTATGTCTTTTCTTAAAGGATTGGTGTCTATCATCCTTTTTGCTTGTAAAACCATTTTCCATTAAAAATAAGCTTAATCATTCATATCAAACTCTAAAAGCTTGCTTTAAACCATAAAAATCCTTCTTTTTTTTTCAGTTGGAAAATAGTATTGCGATGATCGACATTTTCCAAACTAGGGTGTTGTTTGACGTAACCTTCCTATTTTATTGACATTTTCATCACCCCAAAATAAGGTGATCATTTATCATGACTCTCATCAATAGTTTTTAACTTCTACCCTTAAAATGAGGTAGATATCTATCATGACTTTTGTCAAAGTTGAGCAGATTCAATGTAATGCCTTTTATTTCTACAGATTTTTGGGTCTTATTTGTCAGTATCTAATGAATGAATTTTGAACTTTAATCTAGAGCTTGGGTAATGACACATACTAGATGTTCAAGATGGGAGTTAAAAGAGGAAAAAATGCTAAATTATCTCAAGAACAACCCATTACAAGTGACAACGATAGAGAAGTCATTGATGCCACACCAATTATCATTGATTTGACAATAGAGTGTGGCAGTGTAGTTAGTACTCCCCCTTAATTCTGGTTCTCCATGAACCCATGTTTAGTGAAGGTAGTGAATCTGCCTAGCTAGTTAAAGTTGAAGTTGCTCAAAACCTTCTTGTGTAAGAAAAATCAATTGTGAAGCCGGCATCAAACAACTAGTTTCTTAAATTGTAATGTGCATCGCATGAATTGCGTATATGAGAGTTTGTTTTGTGAATGAGCTCAACAATTAATAAGAAGCAACTGTTTTTGTATATGAGTTGTATTTGATATTATTCTTTCATTGATGTACCTTACTTTTTATTGTTTTTTTCAAATTGAGAATAATTATTATAAATTGTGAGTTTGTGTCATTTCTAAAAAGATAAGTGTTAACTCAATAAAATGATTTTTTAGTGATATTTAATATGATTTCTAGTGAAAATAAAAATTATTGTAAATTAAATCTTTTATTAATATTTTTATATTAGCCATTGTATGTAGTGTTGCTAAAATATTTACTGATAATTATTTTGCATGTTGGTAAAAGCCCTTATAATAGTTGGAAAAAGTGTATAAATTTTTGTAACATTTTTTACTAGTATTTAATATTTTTTATTATTATCACTAAAAATTTAAAAAATGATTCATAATACTCTTTAATTATTTTATCTCTAATCAATGTAGAACTTAAGTTTTTCTCAATTTATAATTATTGTTAATAATAAATTTTAGTATGATGTAAATACATTTTTAGTGGCTATTATATATTAATTATTAATATTTTTATTAGATAATAAAATAGAAATAATTAATTTATTATCATTATATAATTTTTAATAATAATAAATTTTGTTATAATGCTTCCTTCTAACAAAATCATTTTCCATTAAAAATAAGCCTAATCTTTCATATCAAGCTTTTTTTTTATCTTTTCTTTATTGATTCACTTACTCCTTAAGTTAAAAATAATTATCATATATATATATGGAGATATTTTAGGAAAGAGATAACTTAAGGAAGAAGAAAGATATAAAATAAAGCATGCAATTGATGATTTTGGAGGGCAGTTAAGAAGCCTAGCTCTTATTTTATTCGTTCTTATATTTTTAAATTAAAATAAAGATTAATATTTTTATACCACTAGCTCCTTTTCATTTAGAGTCATTGCAATTAATGATTTTAGACTTCATTTAAGAAACTAGCTCTTCTTTTATTCATTCTTAATTATCTTTTTAAATTAAAATAAATATTAATATTTTTATACTATTACTTCCTTGTTAATTTTAGAGCTTTTATATGTAAACCAAGAAACGCAATAAAATTTTCTATTTTCAATAAAATAATTTTATTTTTTCTCTAATAATTTTTTTTTACATAAATAGGCTTATTTCATTTCATTTCATTTATGATAAGAGTGTAAATATAAGCAAGAATTTGCTCAAAAACACAACTACAAGTTACTAGAATACATTTGTGATGCTCAAACTAAAGTATGAGCAACATGATTGTAATCACCAAATTTTGTTTGAGTTATCTCTATTAAGGACAAAAGGTCATTAAGATGACACGAGTAGCTCTCAAGGACCCAACAGAGCACCTAAACAAATTGGGACAGTACTAGAAGGCCCAAGAATCTCAAAACCCTAGTTATAGGCTCGAAACGATCATTTTCAAACCCGAAACGACCGTTCCCAACTGAAGAAATGGCCTATAACCCTAATTGGGAACAAGCCATTTCAAGAGCCCATTTTATGTGTAAATTCATGGGTTAGAACGGTCGTTCCAAACTTGGGAACGACCGTTCCACAACCTTGGCTGCCTATATAAACGAGTACGAGGCACGCTCTTTGACACACACTGTTCAATTGACCTAGTCCTAGAAAAACTTCTCTCTTCTCCCTCTCTAGTCTTTCTTGAGTGTTTGGAGACTTTTGTAGAGCGAAAGATTGCTAAAATGTGCCTTTGAAATTGTTCTTCTATAAAGTTTGCTTCAGAGGTATTTTCATCAATTCTCTCTCTCTTCTTATTTATTTAATCATTTTAATAGTATTATTGTCATAGAATAATCAATAATCATGTAGACTTTAGGCATGTGAATGACTAATAAAAAGGGGTAAATATGTAATTATTATTCATTATTTTGCTAAATTTACCATAGGGTACCAATAACTGAGAGTGTCGTGGGGTGTCTAAAACTTTTCACATACGTAACCGACCCCTAAACTTAATTCTAGCTATAAAGGTCATTATTAATTTTTCAAAAATATTTTCTTTTTTTTATATTTTGAGTAAAATATCGGTGACGACTCCTAAGAACCTTTTTTTCAAAAATCATTGGTGAAGGATTAGTCTGATCTTCGAGTGCGTTCCTTGATCGATGAGATTTTTAAATGGAAGTTAAAATCATCTTTGACCAAGATTGAAAATTTTCAAGTTCTGACAATGATTTGTTTGTCTGCTTACAAAGTTGACCATAAAGTTTGAGAGAGAAAAAGAGAGAGAGAACATGTCCAACATTTAAATTAAAGGACATGCAAGTTTGAACAACCAAGTAAAAATCTTGAGGATGTACCATAGCTTTGTAATCCACCTCAATGACATCAGTATGAGTTCCAACTTCTACTAACGAATACAATGCTTGGAGAAGGCCCCATGCCTCGACATCAATTGGGTCTAGAACACTATTCATAAAAATATAGTGATTTATTAAATATTATATCTAAATAACTTTTATAATACACTATAATAAATGTTACATATAGTGATGTACAAAAAATGTCATTATAAGTACAAAATATATATATATAGATAGACGGACGCACGTTGAAGTTTGTGGGGGCAGCTGCCCCCACTAACTTTTCAATTTTGTTTTTTAATAATATATAAAATATTATATTATATTTATTTAAAATTTAAAAACAAAAAAAATTAAATAAAAACTAAAAAATTATAAAATTAAAACTGAATTTGTTGCAGGAACAGATGCACTAATTTGTGCCTCCACTAACTTTTCAGTTTTTTCAAATAATATATATAATATTATATTATCTTCATTTAAAATTTAAAAACAAAAAAATAAAAACTAAAAACTAAAAAAAATTATAAAATTAAAACTAAATTTAAGTTTTGTTGCAATTATCTTTATATGAGAAAGGAAATTTTTTTAAAAATATTTTAATATGTTATAATAATTAACAACAAATTACATGTTTTAAAAAAATGTTATGCATTTAAATTGTAAATCAAGATAAAAAAAAATTATAAATTAAATAATATATGTGTTTTAAGTTTTAAAAAAAAATTATAAGTTGTTATTAACCTCTTTTTAGATATTTTATATCTTTTTTTGTTTTATTTTTATTTTTTCTAATTCTTTTTATATTTTGAGGTTCTCTTCTGCCTCTAACATATTTTAAAGTGTAGAAGAGTGAAATTGGAAGAAAAAAAAAATAAACTTCTTCTTCCATCTAAACTCGTTCTTGTTTGAATAGTTAAACTATATATTTAAAGTGGTCTTTGAGGCTAGTGTATTTAAAGTTATTATTTTTATATTGCTTTATTTGAATTAATTTTTTTTATTTTCAATGAGAAATTTAGTATTTTGATTTTGATTTACTCATTCTATTTTTATGTTTAGAAGAAACATTGTATGTTATGAACATTACATTAATTAAAATTATATTGCTTTTAGTTGTAGCAATGGAAAGGTATTTTAAAAGAAAATCATCTTCAGAGCAACCATCTTCTCCTCAAATACATGTTGAAAAAGAAGTCAAATTGGGTCCACCAACCAAAAAAAGATTTTTAGAATGTGATTTGGAAAGGCTTCCTGATGATCCTTGTTTAAGGCCAAAAATTTCAGATTATCATCCAAGTGATATAGATGAAGTTAGAAGATATTATTTGCAAAAGGGTCCTTGTCAACCAAAAGAGATAAATTTTCCACAAAGATAATTTAGAGATACCATTCGTAAATTTAATCTGGATTGGTATTTAAAATATGAAAGTTGGTTAGAATATAGTCAAAAGGAGGATGCAGCATATTGTTTATATTGTTATCTTATGAGATCACATGTTGGGGAACATAAAGGTAGTGGTGATGTATTCATAACAGAAGATTTTACAAATTAGAAAAAAGTGAGAGATTTCAAGTTCATGTTGGAGGTCCAAATAGTTTTCATAATCAAGCATGGAGGAATTGTCAATCTTTGATGAAACAAAAGCAACATATTAAAGTTGTAATGTGTAAGCAGTCTGATTAAACTAAAAAGGAATATCGAATTCATTTGACTGCAATAGTTAATTGCATTCGATTCTTATTACGCCAAGGATTAGCTTTCCGTGGTAATGATGAGTCAATGTCATCGAGTAATAAGGGAAATTTTCTTGAACTTTTATATCTCTTGACTTTGGAGGGGGAAAGTTAGGGTAACTTTACACAT